GTTTTTAAAAGAAATATTATTTTCTACTTTTTAGTCCTGTCTGAATAAAATTTTGCAATAGATATTAAAATAATTCAACGATATTAATAGAAAGGTGCACACACATGCATTTACATATGTATGTACATACAAACGAGCACCAATTAATTTTATTTAAAGAAATGGCGTGTCGTCTATTTCCGCTGTAGCAAACGTAGTACATAGGGCGACATCTAGATGTCATCTACCTCGCCCTATTCACTACAGCTGTCGCCCTATGCACTATGCTTTTTTATAGGAACTTTTCAAAGCTTTGCTTTGGTGTCGGACACACAACATTGAAAGTTTCTGGACACACAACATTGCAAGTTGATAAAACCGTTGTAAAAACGTAGAAACTAGATTGTTCCAGTTTTGCACCCGATAGAAAATTTTACCATTTGTTTAACCTTTAATAAATTGGACTTAACCAATTTGAATATTTTAGCTTTTATGGTTTTCTTGGGATACTCTCGCACAGTTTTTAGATGAAATCTGTTGAGATTGCATACCGGTTTTTCTCAACGCCAGGCCCAGATTCTTGCATGCGATTGGGTGAATTTTCGCAATTGAACAGTGGAATTTCAAGCACTTCCATAAGTTTACTGTCAGACTCAAAGCTGGGCTTTACGCAGGTTTACTCCATGATTATAAAAACTTGGGATATCTACCCCCCAGTTTCGGAGAAATTTTCTGATCATTGTCCTGTTTAAATTGAAAAAAGCCTGCGAAAAATATCCTCAGAAATTGCCAAATCTTTTAAAAATGTTGATTTACAGGTCTATTCTGCACGTTACCGAAGATTTTGTAATCGGAAAATTGTATTACCAAAAAATGTTACCAGTTCTTGTCACCGCGATTCTAGGTACGTTGGTAATGCAGTTAAAATATTCAGCAATTCAGCTATGAAGAATTGTGCAAATCCTGGCATTGCATATTTCACGGGGCAATAATTTGTTACCAGCTTATGAGATGGTAACAAAATTTACCGGTTACAGGAGTATACAAAATGCGAAAAGGGTTTAAAAATTTACAGGAACTTTATTTACCGGTTACAAACTTTTTATTACCAGCGCAGAATAGACCTGTTATTGTCACTTTTCTTTTTACCATCCATTTTACCACAGTTCCTGTTCTCCTAGCGCGTAACACGGCCCTATTTCATTAAATGTACCCATACAAACCTAATACTTTAAATATTTTTGCAGGTTAGGCGTATCCTTGATGCATTTCCACGGCACCTGAACCAATATTCCTACTGGACACGTTTAATTTTATCATCAGAGTTAAAATATCAATCAATATTAAATTTTGGTGGAATAGTGTGACCGTTTATGAAGAACCTGTAAACGCCCCCTTCAAAATAATACCAATCCAATTTTTTTTTGTTGGTAAAGGTGCGTTTCTGACTAAAAATGATTATGGTTGTCAAAGCAGGCTTTCTCCTCTTCATCTTTGAGCTGCAACAGCGTCTTACATAATGTCCAGTCACTTCCTTTGTGGCGAAAAAGCAGTAATTTTTGATTTAGAACCAAAACCATTTAGACCCTCCAATATGCCTAGCCTGGCAAAGTGCATTTTTTTGTGGTCTCTTGACCTTGCAAACTGAGGTCCGCCCTTTTATCGCTTGTTTAGATAACCATAAAACGGGCATTTGGCCGATATGATTTTCTTTTTATACCGTCGATATTCTGACCGTTTTGCAAAAACTTTTAACTTCTTTTGCTTGGTATGTGCACTTAGAGCACTTACAGCGAAAATCCCACGCGGCTTCATTACGAAATTTCAGGAAATGAGCCAGAACTCCGCTTTGAATTATAAAATTCAGCAATTACTAAGAGGGTGCAAAACTGGAACAATTCAGTTCATTTTTATTTGGTCATTTTTTCGGAGTTTCCATATGCGAATATTAAAATTTTTATTGTCAAACGTTTAGTTAAACATCGGTAAGGCAATATGCAAATTTAAATTACCATAAAGTTAATAAACTGAAAAAGTACATTACCACAAATTTAACTTTCCGTTCTATTGTTCCAGTTTTGCTCTTCAGTTTATAAGAACATATTTTGACAGAGTACATAAATGTAAAATTTTTTCCAATGATAATTTTTTTACAATGGCAATTGCAGAAATAGTATTACATAAATATATGAACTTCATGTGGTGGTGTAGGTGACGTCTGGCGTTGTTTAGTCGCAGAATGTAACTTCATATCGCAGCCTGCGATATTTCACGGTGGCGTGATCAGGGCCATTACGTGCCACCAAGACTGGTCGGTGCTTGTATTTCATCGTACGTCATGCGGACTGCGCCCCTCGTGCGGATGGGCGGGAATGGAGGGTAAAAACCGTTGGGATATTATTATCATTATTATCACGTTCGGTTTGTGACCTTTGGGCGCTTGGGTCGGAATTTATTCCTTTCCGCGTCGAGTAGTGCCAGTGACGATAGCTGGGCGTGATTTTGCATGTCCAGAGGGCTAATTCCTTCAAAAGGGATGGTGCTTTTTCCAGCGGCGTCGTTTGGCAAGTCGTTGTTGGGCCGTCCGCCCATTGCAGTGCTCACGACGCCCGGCTTACGATTTGGTGATCGTGACTCGGCACGGGGGGGGGTGGTTGCTCGTAAGTAGCGGGCGCCTCTACGATTGCGCCAAGGGTTTCGTTTGGTACAGTGGCCGCTGCCAAGAGCGGTGGCCCTCGAAAAACCTGGATTCGTTGAATCCTGGCTTTGGTGGCCAGGGGATGCTCTCGAATGGCGGGCGCCATGGTCGGGTGCATTGTGGTTCGTCCGGTGGAGCTGGGTGGAGCTTTCTGCGACTCATTAATTCGGCATGTCTGACGTGACTGGAGAAAGAATCTGAAATGATAAGATGGAGAGCGGGTTTCGGTCGTTTATGCGGCGAATGCTTTTAGGTCCTGCAGGTGCGCGTGCGGTGGTTGTTTGTGGGGCCGCACGGGCTTTACGAGTTCCACCGTTTTGGTAGAGATGTATTTGGTGATTGCATACGGGCCTGAGAATTTTGGCGCGAGCTTCTGTGCGTAGTTGTCGACAGCAGAGGAGATTATTATATAAGGCCATAAAATAACAAAAAACAAATACTTTATGAATTGTAAAAAATTGTCGACTTTTTTTAACATCTTAAAAAATTTACTCTGCCTTCACTACGCGTTTCAACGTAAACAAAACTTCATATTGAAAATCGCAGTCGCAAGATACTACGAATATAGCTGAGGCTTCTAGTGTGCCGGCTAACTTCGCCGTTGGACCTGATTTCACCGCCGCTGCTAATCTAGCGGCTTCGACAAGCTATCCCATTGTGCACAATACTGTCGCTCCAACGAAAAACTTGCTGATACAGGGAGAGTATGTTACTAATATTGGAGCTGCACATCACCACGATCCTGCGACTCAGCCCGAGATCCTGGATGCTCGCATATTATCTGGAGCTCTTACATCTGCTAATCGGGTGCATTCCATGTCACCTAATCAAATACCGCTCCAAGATAATCGGACAACTAGCCCCGCTAACTCCATAAGCTCAATCAGATCGCAAGGGCTTCGTCGCCGGGCCGAACTGCTGCATGAGCAGAGCGAAATCTTAAGGCAAAAGGAGGCTCTACTAAGAGAGCAGCACAGCTTTCTGGATCGTATTGACACAATGGGTTTCGACGATGACCTAGATGAAAGGCAATATACAATGCGTAGGCCTTCGACCTCAGTGCAGGGGCAGCACCAAATACAACTCAAACAATGCAGCTACCTCCTAGTTTGGTTGCACCATTCATTATAGCTGCTTCTGCTGCAAATCCACCTGTACTTCAAGGAGTTCTTCCACACGACACCGCCGTTTTAAGAACATCAACTGTTCGACATCTAGTGGGTGATCTGTCAGCATCTGTCTTCAATCCTTATTGGACACAATACAGTCGCTCGAGCAGCAATTACTAAATAGCTCGACACCCAATAGAGGGTGTCCTCCGCCACAATCGCAACGCAAACAGCGCAAACAACTTTTCCCATAGCCGGGCACGTTAATAGCTTATCCTTCGGTGCTTCGGCTTATCGCCGACTGACCAGAGACCAGGTCGCTTCTCGCAAAAGCCTTGCTACAGAGCTGCCCAAATTTGATGGCAAGCCAAGCGAGTGGCCGTTGTTTTACGCTATTTATAACCAATCGACAGAGGTTTGTAGATTCTCTGAAGATGAGAATCTGCTAAGACTGCGGCAAGCATTGGTAGGTACAGCACGCAATGCAGTTAAAAATCTATTGTTGCAATCCTCATGCGTGCTCCAAATTATCGCTACCCTTCAAATGCGATTTGGGCGACCAGAATTGATTATCAGCGCTCTGCAGCAACAAATTTGTAAACTGCCGTCACCGTCAGAAAGCCAGCTCGAATCGATTGTCGACTTCGCGGTAGAAGTGCAAAATATCTGTGCAACGATGTCGGTATCAGGCCTGACTAGTCATTTGAACAATCCCGAGTTTGAACAGAGGCTGGTTTCGAAACTGCCTGGGCTTTTACCAGTATATTGGGGAATGCATAAACGAAGCTTAGCGGTCTGTAATTTACAACATTTCAGCGATTGGCTTTTCCAGCTAGGCCAAGGGGCTAATTGCGTTCTCGTTCCAAAGGAGTCGCCAAAAGTATGCAAACGCGGCGCGATTAATCATCATTCTAATTCGGTAAGATGTATCGTCTGCGAAGAAAATTGCAGTGATGTCTCTAATTGTACCACGAAGTCAAAAGTGGCAGGTAGTTCGCAAGTTGAAAGTTGAAACTATGTCAACGATGCTTGGGGAGGCATCCGACAACTGATTGTAAATCGGCCGCAACATGCAACGTTAATGGTTGCGCCCGCAGTCATCATACCTTACTACACAATACAGAGTTAGTTGGTGCTGAAGCTGTACAAGCGTCCAAAAATATCGAGGCGAGCGTCTTAGCACAGCCGGCCAATATGAATATGCATATTTCTGGCAGAAGCAACACACTATTTCTAATCCTTCCTGTATGTAGTTCTACACTCGGGCCGTTGTAGAGTGCCAACCTATGCTTTCATAGATGATGGTTCGTCCCTCACACTCATCGACGAAGAGCTGTTGAAAAAACTAAACGTAACGGGCACACCACAATCACTCTCAATCCCCACATCGATGTGAGGACGAGTCTGTCGTAGTCGACCTAGCCATATCAGCTAAAAACGGCGATAAGAAATTCGCGCTTAAAGGCGTTCGCTCAGTAAAAAAACTCGACTTGTCTATCCAATCGCTTAACGCTGCCGAATTGCAGTCAGATTTCAAAAATTTGAAAGGTTTGCCTTTGGAGTCATATTCAAATGCCGAACTACAACTACTGTGGATTAAATAACGCTGCGCTTGGATCTCCAATAAATTCTTTATATGGTGGCGAAAATGAGCCAATAGCAGAAAAGTCTAGACTTGGATTGACATTGAAAGGATTGACACCTGAAATCGCTGTCGATACTGTACACCGCGCCTATCACATTTGTAACTGCTCTGCCCAAGCTGAGCTACTTTAAATAACTAAAGGGTACATTTGCCTTCATAATTTAGGCATGTCAGCCAAACCTGCTGCTTTATTGTCCAAAGAAGACGTCATCGCTTTGGAGCAGCTACAACAACATACCTTGCGAGTCGGTTACCGTTTTGAGACCAGTTTATTATGGAAACATCCGTATACTCAGCTCCCCGATAGCCTTCAAATGGCCTTATTTTGGGCGCAATGTCTACGTAGGAAGATGCAACGAGACCATAACTTAGCTGAGATGCTTCAGCAAAAGATCAACGATTATATCCAAAAGGGGTACGCCAGACGTTTGACACCACTCGATGCTGCCGTTGAGAGATACTTTTATTTGCCGATTTTTGCAGCAACAAACCCTAACAAACCTAGGAAGGTTCGATTAGTCTGGGGCGCAGCCGCGAAGGTTAATGGTGTGTCCTTGAATAGCATGTTGCTCAAAGGCCCAGACCTAACAGCCCCTTTACTTTCGGTGCTATTTAAATTCCGAAAAAAGCGAGTGGCTATCACGGCCGATACTTCTGAAATGTTTCACCAAGTTCGGGTCCATCAAGAAGACGAAAATTTCTTACGCTTCCTTTGGTATGAGTCACACGCCAACGAGCCAACTACCTTTGTGATCACAGTTATGACCTTTGAGGCCACATGCTCACCCATACGCGCTCAATATGTCAAAAATAAAAATGCCGAAGAGTTTCGTGAGGAATTCCCTTGTGCTTCCCGCTGTATAATCGAAAACCATTGCGTCGATGATACGCTGGTGAGTATGGACACAGAAGAAGAGGCTATAAAAGAACATAAGAAGTTTTCTATCAACCTCTAGTCGAGTATTGGCTGCTCTGAACGATAGCTCAACTGACCCGCTATGTCTCGATCTTGAAAAAGGTTTGCCTACCGAGAAGGTGTTAGGCATGAGGTGGGTTACCGCCAGCGACCATTTCGCATTTCGTGTATCCTCAAAGTGCAGGGATTTCGACCTCTTTCTTTGCCAGCGGCGACCGACCAAACGCGAAGTCTTGAGCTTGGTTATGACCATATACGACCCAATTAGGCTCATCGGTGTCTACGTGGTGTACCAAAGTCATCTTAAAAGAAATATGGAGGACTGGATGCGACTGGGACGACCCACTTCCAGACGACCAATTTACCAAGTGGCTGAGGTGGCTTAAACTCATTCCGAAAATAGAAAACCTGAGAATCCCGCGCAGCTATATGCAAACAAGATTTGGCGGAACCCCTAAACTAGAATTACACACATTTGTCGATTCTAGTGAAAGCAGCTATGCCGCATTGTGCTACCTTCGATACTCACACCATGACGCAATTGATTGTACGATGATTGCCAGAAAAACAAGAGTAGCCCCACTCAAGTTAATATCCATACCACGCCTGGAACTAAAAGCTGCAATTTTGGGAGCTCCACTCGCCAATCATGACATCGAATCGAAATCCATCCACGTTGATAGTTGCATATACTGGTCAGACTCTCGAACAGTATTAGCCTGGCTGCATGCCGATCACCGACGCTACAAGCAGTTTGTGGCCTTTCGAGTCAGTGAGATTCTGGAAATGACTGACGTAAAGGAATGGCGCTGGGTTCCAACTGCGGCAAATGTCGCTGACGAAGCCACCAAATGGCATGGTTATCCGGACCTTTATCACGACAGCCGATCGTTTAGTGGACAATCTTTTTTGTACGTTACGCGTGAAGAGTGGCCCGATGAGCCGCAAAGTAAAGGTCCTTCAGCTGAAGAGCTCCGTCCACAGTTTATTGGCGCTCATAACTTAACGTCAGAACTACTTCTATTAGTGCCCGAAGCTGAGATATTTTCATCTTGGAACCGTCTTCTTCGAGCAACCACTATGGTCATGTATTGCGCTCGGGTTTGGTTAAGTGTGATTCGAGATAATCAATTTGTTGGTGGTATCCCAAGTACTGAAGATTTTCGGAAGGCAGAACGCTACCTTTGGAGGAAAGCACAGCACGACGATTTAAAAGACTCCATAGTATCTTTAGCAGTTGGGAAAGCTGTCGACAAATCCTGCAAAATTGTCAAGCTATCACCATGTCTAGATGACAACGGTGTTTTGCGAATAAATGACAGAGTTAAGATAGTAGAGCGGCCAGACCCAGTACTATTACCACACAACCATCATATTACGCGCCTCATCATAAACCACTTTCACGTAAAGTATCATCACGGTAGCTTGGAGACAGTCGTAAACGAAATTCGGCAGTCTTATTGGATCATAAAACTTCGTATCATGGCCAATCCAATTCGACGCAATTGTCAGGTTTGTAAAAACAGAAGCGTTCAACCTCGACCACCTAGGATGTAGGGAAACGAGCTAGTGCGGAACTGGTTCGGTTCTAGTGCGTTTGGAACCATGACTAGTGCGCGTTAATTCTCTTTTGCATGCTAGCGACTGGCGAATTTAACATTCCGATGTCCTAAGAAGTGTCAATTGTCCCCCGTTGCATCCCTCTGGCTCTAGTTCCGAACAAGTTCTAAATTCGACAGATTCTGCATCCCCTTTTCTTTAGTTCCAAACCAGTTCCTAATTCGACAGATGAGATCTAGTTCGATCTGCATCCATTTTCTATAGTTCCCAACCTGTTATAAATTCGTCACCTTAGATCTATATTTCTAATCAGGCTTGTCGAAACATTTCCCTTTTATATTAAATACGATCGGTTGAAGGAATACCATCACAAATGTTTAAACGCATTTATTAAAAATTTATAAACCACATTAGTAGTGGGATTAGTATTAAACCTAAGTAGTAAGTAAAAAACAAAAGTGCGTTCTGCTTAAAAGTTAAAATATTAGTTCACTTTGTCTTACTTGTCTAAATTTAAGCATATTGATTTTTAAGTAAATTCAGTTCTTTTTAAGCTTATATGTATATGAAGTACTTCGAAAGTTTTTGTCGTACTTAACTTAAATAAGATATACAGTCAGTCAATAAAGTTTAGGTACAGTGAAGTTTTTACAATACCGGCAACTATTTTTTAAATATNTTAAATATAAAAACAGAGATAAATTACAAACTTATGGCATTTTCTCTTCTATTAAAAAATTTTGCCTTCTTATAAATATTGTAACACAAGCGGGCCCCGTGCGCAGTCTGCGCAGACAGAAATACACAGTTAACTCATCCCTCTTTGTAGCCACAGATAGAAGCAGACTGTTCTAATAGTTCGCGGAAATAATTATTCTTATAAACACCTTATTTTTATTATACATATATTACAAAGCATTAATGAGATTTATAGTACATCAGAACTTATACTTATTAGGTACATACATAAAAACATATTACAAACTGACTGATATATGGGTGTCATGAGTTGAGGGAAACATGGTGTCACTTACAATATATCTTTGTAATAAAATATATTCAGAATTAACTTTTTGATTAAATGTTTCTTTAACAGAAACAATAATATCTGAGAATCGTCTTACTCTAGTTTAAAACAAAATGGTCCTCTACCCGGAATATGGCCAAAGTTCACCTGAACTGAAGCAAATGCAAGACCGTTGTTATTTTACGGATATTCTCCAAATAGTTTTTTGGGATGTCATCATTGCGCTTTCAGCTCATCGCGGACAGAAATTGGTGGTAAACTCACCTTGCTCTTGTGGCAACAGATGGATGCAGTTTTATTAGCTGCCTCGCCTGGATAAAGTTTAGCTGAGCAAAACTCACATATCTTCTCCATGCGTTCAGCACAATTAAATTCTGTCTCATCGTCTTTAAGGAAGAGACGTGCACCGCAATACGTCTTTGGTAGCTTTTCTTGCCGCCTCCTTGCACTGACATCTTCACTTAATCGCTGAAAATATGATGGCACCAAAACACTACTAAATTGGGGAGTGAATTTTGGCCTTTGTTCGGCTCGTTGTTTCTGCCTTTGGTTCCGCATACATTCCCCAGCTCGTTGCAAATAGATCTGCCGTTGTTGCATATCTTGGTTTATTGGAAGGCAATTACGTTTTTTGCGATCAGCTGACACTCCCATACACTTTTTTCGAGGTATATAGTAGTAAAAATGGTCATTACTATCAACAAAATAACTTTTTGAAATTATAAGGTTACCGATTTTATGTAGACTTTATGAGATAAACGCAATATGTTAGTATATCAAATGGAAAGATTTATCTGTAAATGAAATGTTGAATTGAAAATCACCAAAAATACTATAATACCAAACACCAATATGCTTATCATA